AGCTTCTCAGATCCCCGAGTTATGAACTTACCCGAAAAAAATTTTGGCGGGCCCGCACGCGGGTACCACGCGGGTTTTGGCGCCCGTTTTGGAGATTGGGAAGGGGGTGCGTACATGTAGATTAAGTTCCCGAAATTTCAGCTCCACAACTTTTATAGGTCCTGAGATAAAAGTGCGTGGCAGACGCACACACAGACACACAGACGCACAGACACATAGACACACGGACACACATACAACCTCTCGTCAATATGCGTTTTTCGCATTGCAACCTCTCGTCAATATGCGTTTTTCGTAACGCATAAAAAGTAGGAGTTATCAAGAATCTCCTTTACGCAGAATTTCCAAAAAGACTACTTAGTGTCCGGAGGCAAAACAAACTGCATTTAAAGAAGGCTGACAACGCTTCAACGTACGTTTATCAATTATACAAGTATTATTTACCTCTCATCATTGATAATCTGTTCGAACGCATCACTGAGTTTCTTCTCTACCTGAAGATCCGAAACTGATAGCATTATGCCAAAACCGGATCGCTTTGCCAGAACAGCATTACGTAACTGGTCACCAAAGACGGGTACCACGATGACAGGCTTCCCACGACACAGTGTTTCCGTGATACTATTCATACCACCATGCGTCAGAAATGCCACCAAATTTGGATGTGCTAGAAAGCTCCAAAATTTGTTATAGGCCTCCTTCATATAATAAACTTAATAATCTTACCTTTTTAATACCTGATTCAGCTATAATCAATGCATGCAACTTACAACTAGTCCGTATGCATTGATCAATCGTGTTGTGTCGCTTGATGGTAAGCCTGCAGGCCATTCTAGTGTTTGCTTCGTTGCCAGAAAAGATGAGCAGCTCTAAGGATTTCTTAGCAAAATCCTCGTGCCAAGGCTTTATCCCTTCCTACATGTTCTTTGTGCATGTTGAGCACCAATGACCACGTCTCGAAAAATGCTATCTTTTTGTTAAGGAGCGAGGCTTTATCGACTGGAAAAAGCATTGATACCAAAATATTTCAGCAAATTCTGAATTCATCCTGACTTCGTTAAATATGGCTATTACCTAGTGTCATTTCGGGACAGAAGAAAAAATTGTTACCAAGTAAATCAGTTTGTGGTAGCCATTTATCGGTTATCACATTAGGATGCCCATCGGCGATGTAGTGCTCCTCTTTTTCGTACTTCCAGATGAAAGTAATATCTGGGAACAGATCAAAAGCATTCAGGAGAGCTTGTTTCGTTTCATTTGGCATCATATAGCTGGCTACCACAGAACCGAATGATACAAGAATCGCTTTCTTGCGCTGACTCATTATTGTTGACCACCGCTGAAGAATGCCAGTTATTAGTGCGAAAGAGCAACAGCTCCAGAAAACTGGCTTATCAAAAAACACTTGAAAAAAATGTGGTAGATTTTAAGCATGGAGCATGATTTTGGATAGAAGTGTTGATGCACTTTCATAGTCAAATGAAAATTTTACTACCACTTCAACTTCCTAAAGAAAGATAAACTGTAGCTCATTTACAATTTACTGGCAGATACATGTGAATACTTTCAGGCAAGGGACGATTGGAAGTAAGAGTAAGGAAAAAAATGACGAGAACAATCCTGGCATGATTTGTCGACTCATACTAATGGTAGTGAACATTTCAGTAAACTAATACCGTGGAGAGTTTGCTAGGAACAAGTTACCAACGCTGTCGCCCCTTGGATAACTTTTGCTGATAATGCTTACAGATTGCAGTTACTCAAGCCGCTAGTTGGTGTTCCTATCGACTATAGTGAAAATTTAAATGACTTCTTTGAAAGGAAATAAATGGCAAGCGCATCGGCTGCCGGTGCGAAGATGCGCGTTTTGCAGAGTTACCCGCAGATATTTGTCGCTAACGACACTGTTTTTCCCGGCTGATCTACTAGTTAAAAGAATTGAGACTGGATGCCAGGACTGTCAGGAAGCGCCATTGTAAAATTTCATCTTTCTAGCTTTCCTGGTTCCTAAGTTAGTAACTTACCTGCAAAAAACTTTCACGGACTCGTACATAGGAACCACCCATATCCGCTGGTTAGATCTGAACTCATTAGGACCTACGTAGACGGGTAACATCCTTTTAAAATTTCAGTCTTCTAATTTTTAAGGCCTCCGAGTTAGCAACTTACCCGAAAAAAATTTCACGGGCCCGTACGTGGAAACCACACACAGCCGGCGACTAGGATTGAGCTCGATAACATATATATGGATGGGGAACACATTAAAATTTCAGCTTTCTAGCTTTTTGGTTCCTGAATTAGCAGCTTTCTTGCCAGAAACTTTAACGGGCCCTTACGCGGCTACCACGTGGAAAGAGCGCTAATTTGTGGATTGGGGCCCGTACGTGCATGTAGATGAAGTTCCGAGAGTTTCGGCTCTGTGGCTTTTATAGGTCTTGAGATGAAAAAGTGGTACAGACGCACACACAGACACACAAACACACATACAGACAACCCTTCGTCAGTATGCGTTTTCTAAATTGCATAGATGCAAAGAGCGCATTAAAAAATATAGTGGATTTTAGGTGATGTGTTATAATCGAACAAAAACGTCAAAACGGAAAACCCTTCTTCTGTTTTGTACATTGAATGAAATACTTATTATATAGATACCGATTTAGCACACCTCATTCAGCGGTTTCGCTTTTGGAACAGCAACACCTCCAAGTTCCTTTACTTTGTGGATCGTAGGCTTCGGAAAATCAAAGAATGGGTCCGCACTGGACAACACATAGGTTGCTTGTGCTAATTTTTCCTGCAAATTGAGAAAGAGACGATATACGAGGTTCAAAATAGCAATAATTAGAGGCAGATGTATTATTGAAAGCACTTGCACAATCAAAAAATAAATTATTTAAGTTAGCATCCCATAACTCATGAAGTTGCCAGAGTCTGCACCCCACCGTGCCTTGACGACGCCCAGTCCACTGTCTTTCCCCTACCGCAGAGACCCCTGGATCAGAATTTATGAGATTTGCAGACATTTGTTTTTATGCGTTTTTGCTGTGCAGCGCTATAGCGCTGCTACAGCCAGCAAAAACGCATATTG